ACCAACTCCTGCCGGGCGGGGATGGGCAGCCGCTGGATCTCGATCGGGCCCATGGCGTCGATGCCCGTGGCCTCTTGGCGTTGAGGCGGCCGACCACGGAGTCGAGCTGCACGAGCGTGGTGGGATCCACGTCCTCCTGCTTGGCCTGGGGCATGACGACCCTGAGCCCGTCCAGGATGGAGGTCTGGGTAGCTGCCGAATCGGTCCAGACCTTCTCCCACGAGTCGGCACGTCGTTCCATGATCTGGCACGGGGTGGCGCATGTGTTCCCCGCAACGTCAACATGCTCGTCGCGAACGATGGCTGAGGGTTTGACATGGCGGTGGAGCGCACCAGGAGCGTCGCGCCACATTTTGAGCGCCCACTTGCCGAAAGTACGACGCCCGTCTGACAGTGCTTTGCTCACTGCCCTGTTAAGAAAACGTTCTGATATCTCGATGAGCTCGGAAATCTTGCGTTCCCCTTGCTGGTCGAGATTGGCCACTGCAGATGTCCATGATGTGAACACTCCATCGGTGTCCTGAGCGAAAGGCTTCTGGAGTTCGTTGTCGAGGGCAGCCTGCAGCAGCTCGTTAACCTTCTTGCTAAGTGGGACTGGTTCGGCGGTGGCTCCGCGTCGGCGAATGGACTGGCAACGAACGAGCAGAGTCGAAGCCAAATGCCACCACTCCAACATCTGGTTGCGCATATGAGCCCGAGCGGGGGTGGCGCTCGATCGATTCCAGGCATTCATGTAGCCACGTCCTCTACCACAATGGCGTGCCTGAGTGTCCTGCGGGATGCCATGGTGCACGACCGTGGCAGTCTCGACCGCGGATATCCACTCGTGGTATGCATTGGCGATCCTCTGCTTGACGCCCTCATTCCTGTCCAGGAGGAAATGGTCCATCAACTTGAGCTGTGCTGCTGGACGGGCGCCGAGTGGTGACGTAGCCGATGCTGTTGCCGTCTTGGAGCCTGCTGTAGCCGTCGTGGCCGCCGCCGATGTAGCCGCTGCCTGGCTTGGTCCTAGGAGGAGCGGAGCGCTGGGGGCTGAATCCCTAGCGCCCCCCCCCCCCTCAATAGTGCCAGCAGCATCTGCGTCGCTGACGAGGTCGTCGATCTCATCCATGGGGTCGACGTCGGAGTCGTCGAGCGTAGTTCTGAGGCCTGATTTCGATGTGGAATCCGATAAAGGGTTTGGAGTAGGAAGGTGCGCAGCACTGCGATGCCCCTGCTGAGGGACTGGGCTGCCATCTGGATGCACGGTGGCGCTGCTGGCCACCTCTAATTGGATACCGCGGGCACGATGCCAGAGGTCGAGTGGGATGGCGAAACTGACCGAGGGAGCGACGACCGCCTCGTCATCGCCGTTGTTGTAGAGCTCGTCGTAGGCCTCCTGGAGTCGGTGGTCAAGGACGCGGCGTACGTGGTCTCGAGGTCCACGAATGCCTGGTGGGCCCCCGCGACGGCAGGGATGGAGGCGAGCTTCTGGAGCAAGCCATTGATTATTCTTCCATTCCTCGGGCAGGTTGTTCCAATCGCCAAGCACGATCCATGGGTCAGCGATGAGTCGAAGAAACGCCGCCAGCCGTATGAGCATCCGTTCGTTCGGGCCGCGGAATCCGAACTTGGGCTGCAGGTAGGCGGCGACCACCACGAGGTTGCCGACCTTGGTGTGCCACGTCATCGGGCAGAACCCCACGAAGGGGTCCTTGGCCGACTTGGACAGCTGCGCCTGCCTCCATCCCTCGAACGACGTGGTGGCGAGGGTCTTCTTGCACAACATCGCCTCGCCTCCAGTGGTGCACGACTGAAAGCGGGCGGCCAGTGGGGACTCAAGGTGTGGCAGCTGTCTTCCAACCGTCCTTGGACATGTTGACGATCATCTTCTCAGAGAGGAGGAGGAGGAGGAGGAGGAGGGAGGGAGGGAGGGCGGGCGGCCGGGAGTGAGGGAAGAGGGAGAAGGCTGATGGAGTAATGATGAGAGGCGAGGTGTGTGGTTTACATCATCAGCGGGAGGGAGGGAAGGGAGGGATGGAGGGAGGGCGGAGGGCGGGAGTGAGAGAGGAGGAGGAGAGGAGGAGGAGAAGGGGAGGAGGAGGAGGAGGAGAAGGAGGAGGAGGAGGAGGAGGATGAGGAGGAGGGAGGAGGAGGGAGGGAGGGGAAGGAGGGCGGAAGGGAGGGAGGAGGGGAGGGCGGCGGGAGGGAGTGAGAAGAGGAGAAGGAGGAGGAGGAGGAGATGAGGATGGGAGAGGAGGAGGAGGAGAGGATGAGAGAGGATGAGGAGAGGAGGAGGAGGAGGAGGAGGAGGAGAGGAGGAGGAGGAGGAAGGAGGGCAGTAGGGCGGGAGGCGGGGAGGGGCGGGAGGCGGGAGGGCGGGAGTGGAGAGAGGAGGAGGAGGAGGAGAGGAGGAGGAGGAGGAGGAGGAGGAGGAGGAAGAGAGGAGGAGAGAGGAGAGGAGGAAGGAGGAGGAGGGAGGAGAGGGAGGGGGGGAGGGAGAAGGGAGGAGGGAGGGAGGAGGGAGGGGGAGGGAGGAGGAGGGCGGGAGGAGGGAGGGCGGAGGGCGGAGGGAGGGAGGAGAGAGGAGAAGGAGGCGGAGGAGGAGGAGGAGGAAGGAGGAGAGGAGGAGAGGAGAGGAGGAGGAGGAGAGGAAGGGAGGAGGGAGGGAGGGAGGAGGAGGAAGGGAGAGGGAGGGAGGGAGGGAGGGAGGAGGGAGGGAGGGAGGGCGGAGGGAGGAGGCGGAGGCGGAGGGAGGGAGTGGAGAGGAGGCGGA